GCCCTATATATGTATATATATATATACATATCAGACAGACAAAGACTGATCATTTTTGATCATCAACACTTTTGACCAAAAAAAGCATTTGAACTGCCGTTTTCTGGGAGTATTTTATTTTCCAGCCTCTACTACCTAAAATGTTTTTTTAATTTATTAATATGAAATTTCAAAGGTATGCCTAATAGATCATCTCTATTTTTAAAATACAGTATACCTTTGAATTGGAGTGTCACTTGACTGAGTCATCATCATGCTCCCAATATTTCAGCTTTTTAATATCATGGTCAATTTTTGTAAAGCATCCTTTCATAAGCTAATAGTTTCTTTCCTTGTTACCATCCAAACAAAATGCAGATAAACTAGTGGTGCAAAACAAAATGTGTGAGAGGCAGCATCACTCTAAAATAAATGTGCTGAACACAGTCTGTGTAACGTGAAGTTCGTACCTGCCGTTCTATGTTTTATGAATGGCAGCACACACCAACAACATGATACAGTAACCATTACATAAAGAGAGTTGTGTGTTTGGGCTGGTTGTGCACATCTTGATTGTTGTGAACAGAATGACAAATCAGAAATAACAGCAGGGAGACGATCACTGGCAGTTTTTTTTTTTTTTTTAATATGTATCTACACAACTGAACAAAACCCAATAATGACTGATCATTAAAGTGCTTAATACATTTCAAGAATCAGTTACAAGTAAAACAAATACATTGCAACTGTATTTGTTCTGTTTGTGTATTGACCTCATTTTCCCCTTGATCATGGGCATCTCTGATGGCAGAAATGAGAAAACAGTCATTTTATGTTAGCCTCAGTCAGACCCAGTATTTTCTATGGAACCATTGTCACCCATAAATTTGAATCATTGTTAATCAACAAATTAAAAAAAAGAGATGTAGCAGTGATTGGTGGATGAGAAAAAAACCCCAAAAAACTTTATATATTCGGAATATAGAGTTCAAGTATCGTTTTGATCTGATGCTGTCAAATGGCTATGGAAGCCTGTTTGTTCACATTCACTGAGAAAAACGTGAATCTCCTTCAAAACTTTACACTTAAACTATCTACCAAAAATGCTACTTTTCTATTAACAAGACAAAACAATCAGACTGATGATACAGTTTGTCTGACAAGTTTATGAGCTGTGAGTTTACTGTAAGGATGCTACAGATGTTGTTGGAGGAGGTGAAATGGATGGTGCTGGTTTGATCCTTTACTGTTAATTGAAGTGGGACACTTTATGTAGTTTAAATCATTTGTTGCTTGCAATGGACTGATAACAATGATCATTAAAACTGAACATTATAAGTGCAGATCATTAAGTTTCCTATTCAGTGTTAAAACAGCTGACCAGAACAGATGCTGTTAGCGTGTAGCATTTAGTGTTTTAAAAATACCACCGAGCTTTAATCTTCATGACTAACTTCACTGTTCTTAGCACTGTGAATGTACACGCTTCTATTTTTCTGTTATTTTACTGCTTATAAAACAGGAGTCGTGCATCAAAACATGATGTGTAAAGCTTCATCACTGAAAACAAAAATAAGAGCATTTACAGCAATTTCTGGGTTTAGAAACTTTTGATCTTTGCCACAAAGCTTGGGTCTGATGTGTGGTTTAGTGTCTGCTTACAGAACAGAACTGATTACTGACAGTAAATAAAGATTTCACGTGCAAATATTCAGCTTTCATGCAGTGTTTTTGATCACTCAGACTTCTACATGACAAGACAGCAGCACAGTTAACTGTCTTTGTAGGTGATTTCAGGTCATTTTCAACAGAAATCTGCCCGGTAACTGATGACTGATTGATATGGGTTTTTAAAACAAGCTGATGTTGCAGTCTGTCAGAAGAGTTTTCTGTCAACGGCCCTCCTAAGGCTTGTAAACTGAAAGGAGCAAAGTGGACAGACCATCTTAGGGTCATTAAAGAGTTAAATTATTTATTTATTACTAATAATTAAAATGAGTTGAATTGATTTAAATTGACTATATTAGGGGCCTGAACATAACCAAACATGAATTGAATCCAAGCAGGAATGTGTGTAACCAAAAGAAGCTCTGAAGTCTAAATATACGACAGAAATGACACAAACAACATGGTTGTCCAATTTTCATTAAAAAAAACAACAACAAGAAAACATCAAAGTTGTTCACAAAATTATTTGTGGTAATGGACTGATTTTCAACTTTTATAGTTCTTTTAGTTAGAGGACATCTTAAAGTTCTTGTTTTTGCTCCTTTTCTTAATTTTCTTAGATACAACAAACATTAATTATTAGAATAAAGCACTCCAGCCTGCATAATGCTTCTGACATCCTAATTTTACGCTCTGCATTCTACAGCCTCCCAAATCTACAGATTTGGTTTTAAAAACTCATTTTCTCACATAATGATTTAGGTTGTATGCTGTGCAAACCCTCTGTGCGTATATCCAGCATTTCCAGGTGACTGACTCGGACACCCATACAAGCTTTCATCTTCCTCCAAACTGAGATGGAGAAGCGGCTTTTTTTCCCACTTTAGATTCTCCTCTTGATATATTTGCTCATCAGACTTTTATTGAGTTAATCTGAACAGAACAGACCCATTCCAGGTTCATTAATGTTTTAGAGTGTTATTTAGAGACTGTCTTTAGTGGCTGTAAAATGCTACAAAATGTAAACAAGAAGGACTTTAGGTTTTATGTCCAATAAAGAATTACACATGAAATGTAACATTAAAATTATATTTTTTATTAAAATATACATTTTTCACTGTTGTTTTTCCTTTTAATTTTTTAGTTAATTTCTCTTTTTTTCTATAAGTAATTTTCTATTAATTCATTCAACCTTTATTTATACAGGTTAATCCCAATGAGTCTCGGGGACTCATGTACAAGAGAGACCAAAGAGTGATGACAACAGTGAAACAACAAAGACAACAATAGACAATCATAAAGGATGCATACAAATTGAGATTTTTTTTAACAAGTGGAAATAAAATGGTATTTAAAAAAAAATGTAACAAAAAAATAGCTAGGATTGTAAGGTGATGTAGATAGAGCAAGAAACATTTTTAATTCATGAACTTCCATTTATTCAAACAATTATTTCAAAACTTTATTTAATAAATGTAGGCAATATAAAACGATGGTAATAACTGCAACACAGAAAACATTTTGTCAAAAGGATTAAATCAAAGAATAACAAAAATTCCTACAAACAAGACAACATGAATTTTTAATGATGCCTTCGATAATATGTTGGTTTGAACAAAATGCTATCAATAACACTCATAAAGTGCATTTTATAATAGCAAACACTATTTTTGGGTGGCAAAGACAAAATGTTAGATTTTTTTAAATTATTTTTGAGTATAATGACAAACGTCTTGCAAAGAATTCCCCAGCCTTCATCATTTATGCAGAATAAACATAGTTGAAGTCTGTGTAATACACAGCTTGATGTACTGACAACTGCCAGGCAAGGTAAACAAGAAATTTAATACATTAAATGCAAGACAAATCCAAATGTTTGTGCAATATTCATTCAACATTTATTTATACAGGCTAGTCTCATTGAGCCTTGAGGACTCATTTACAAGAGAGACCTGATTTTAACAAAGAGTCATGACACAATTGACAATCATAAAAGAAAGCATATAAATTGGAAAAAAAATAGATGGAAGAAAATTACATTAAAAAGCAAAACAAAAACAGCTATAATACAAAGCGGTGTAAAATACTAAAAACAGGAACATGTCTGCATTGGTTTTTGAAGGAACTTAACAGATGTTTGAAGCCACTTAGAGACATCAAGGTCAAGAACTTCAGATATTTTTGCAAGATATTCCAGGAAACAGGAGCAGAGTAGGAGAAGGCCCTTTTGCCTAGTTCAGTCCGCAGTGAGGGAACACTGCAGGTAATAATGTCCTGAGAGCGCACGCTGTAGCTGCACTCACACACTGACAGGTAGGAGGAGATGTATGAAGGCAACAGACCAAGAAGTGATTTAAAGATGAAAATGCAGCAGTGAGTGAGTCTGTGTGAAGTTAACGATGTCCAGTTAACCAGTGAATACAGGGTGCAATGGTGGGTACAGTAGTTACAGCCAATTATGAATCTTAGCACATTGTGACAGACAGCATCCAACATCTGCAAGATGCTTGTAGGAGCGTTCATGTAAATAATGTCATCATAATCAATGGAGGGAAGGAAAGTAGCAGTTACAAGGCGTTTCCTAGCATTCAGAGTTAGACAGGCTCTATTTTTGAAAAAGAAACCCAGTTTTACTTTCAGTTTCTTTACCAAGTTTTTGACATGATGCTTAAAAGAGAGGTGCAAATCGACCGATACCCAAGTATATGTAAGCGTCAACAAACTCAGTAGGACACCATTTGAAGATAAAATAGAAGGAAGAACTGCTGGGACTGACTTTTTGTTTGAAAACAACATCCCTTTGGTTTCGTCAGTGTTTAGTACAAGTTTGAGATGGAACAAATCCGACTGGATGATGTCTAAAGCAGATTGCAAAAGCTGGAAAACCTTATCAACTGTTTTAGCTCGACAGTAAAGAACTGTATCGTCAGCAAAAAAAATGTAAGGATGCATCAGGGATGATCTGACCTACATTACCTATGTAGAATGTGAAGAGGGTGAGTCCTAAGACTGAACCTTGTGGTATACCATTGTTAACAGTTAGAAAACTGGAAGAAGTATATACAATACAATAATACATACATAAAACAAATCCAGTAAATACAATACAATAAATAAATACAATAAAATATACAGCTAATATGCAGTTTGATTCAAAATGAATCTGTCCATTTGAGAAAACAACAAACAACTTACTCAAAAAGAGGCTTTTAGAAGCCATTGAGCATCTTTTTTAACATATTCTTCAAAAATACAATACAAAAAAAAAAGTCATAAATATATATTGTTCCAGTTTTGTTTTAGCGGTTTTTTTTTTCTTTGTTCAAAATAAATGGATTTGTGTAAAACTACTTTAAACCAGATTGTGAGCTTTGATTAAAATTCCCCTTTCTTCTCTGGAGATTCTATTGGTATGCCATCCCATAAACACAGAAAAACAACAACAAAAACTTGCCTGTAAATAACCCAAAGTTCATAAAAGCCTGACATGTTTTATTGTTTTTAATTCAAAGTCAAACCAAACTGACCGAAGAGAGATGAAACTGTCAGAGTCACAGAAGTTGCTGATGAGGTGACAAAGATTTACTGCCTCTGCAACAAAAATTCTCGGCAGGATCTTTTCTATCTCTGCTGATCAGAGCTGAAGAAGACTAATAACTGTAGCAGAGTTAGATGACAGCGGTGTGAATATACTTTTCATCAAATATAAAAAAAAGATGTATGTTAGTAGTTTGAAATATAGTTGATATTTTAGCATACTGCATACTTTTAACTTTTACTCAACTCAGTCAGTTGTACAATAAAACATTGGCGTTACGCAAAGTGACACTAGTACAAAGAAGCAATCTAAAGGAGCTTCTCTCAACATTTTTATACTCTGAAACTTATAAAATAAGATGTGTTATTAGGTTTTCTTGTCACATCATTCATTGCTTCATTTTTTCTTCCATTTTTCTATCATTTCTTCCATTTACTTTTCATGATATATGCTTTTTATATGATTGTTTATTGTTGTCTGTACCTCACCTTTTTCTTTATTAAAAACAGGACTCTCTTGTAAAAGAGTCCTCGAGGCTCAGTGCAACTAACCTGTATGAATAAAGGTTGAATGAATTGTAAGCCTTTTTGTGCCAAAAAAAAAAAAAAAAAGGAGAAACGTTTTTACATGCAGCAGTGTTTTAATGTTACAAAGTAGAAATACTTTGTTACTGTACTTAAGTAGAATTTTGACATATTTTTTTACTTTACTTCGTTATATACATTTCTAACGACTTTCACTTTTACTTCACTACGTTTCCTCAATAAAATGTGTACTTTTACTTCAATACATTTCCCGTAACCATCTTAGTTACTAGTTACTACAATTTAAAATGAGTAGAAATCTGATTGGGCAATGCCTGTTTGTTCTCCCAGTCTACCAGCCTCTCCCCCGTCGCTTGTGTGAAAACTGCAGCTCCCGCTGTGAACAAGCTAGATGCATATGCAGGTATCAATCGTTATAATAAGTCTT